GGACTTCAAAGGAGCCGCGAGGACCGAGTCATCTGCGGTCGAGGTTGAAAAGCGATCCGTCTCTTCTTCAACTGTGATCATCGCCAAGGCGGCGATATCGTGGGCGCGGAGAGATTCCACGAGCGAGTGGAAGCTCATCTCTGGCTCGGAAGACGTCCGGGGGAGTTCGTGCAAGTTACACGTTTCTTCGATAAACGTGGTTGCCAAGGTCGAGGCAACTATCGGGGGCGGTAACGTAGCCTTGCCGATAAGAACAGAGGGCGACTCTGTTGGGGGCACGAAAGGGGTATTGTGCAACACCGTGGTTGGGTCCGATGGGGCCGCGGGCGTTGGGGTCAATGAGCGCACTGCGGGGCTAGGAAAGGCGAGATCATTACTCATCGCCTCGAGCGGAGGGCCAAGCGGGTTGGTGGTGGATGGTGGAAGGCGATCGGCAGCCCACCGATGAATCCAGGGTTGGATCGCGTTGAGCCAAGTAACCTTGTGCACGGATTTGGCCTTCCAGTCAATCCAGGCTGGTGGGACTCCAGCCAGGACATCCCGATGATGAGATCCCATCTCTCATCGAGGTCGATAACATAGAACGGTTCCGTCGAGTAAACCGTCGAAAGTGATGGGAACGTCGACGATTATGCGTGGTTGAGACGCAGTGTGGCCGTCGGCCATCTTGACGCGAACCCTGTCGGAGGGATCCAAAAAGGGTAAGCGGTTGAAGCGAGAGAGAGTGGAGCGGCTGGCGTAGTTGTTCGACGCCCCACAATCGATTAAAGCAGAGAGCCTGGCCGGGAAGCCAGGCACGACAAGTTCCAAACAAATCATTTTGTTGGGTTGGAGCCCAACACGACACAGAAGAAGGTCTGTGTCCGAGGCTAGGTCCTTAGAGTGTGTCAGCATGCCACACACCTCCAAAGGACCTAGGGTGTCCCCAGTAGGTCGCCTCGCGCCTACTGGAAGCGACCGTTTCCCACCACACTCGAGCTCGGAACGGGGCGAAATGGTGGACGTGAGCCACCGTGGCGTTCACGATTGAAGCGGTTAGGTGGACCGCTCGGAGGGCGACGCGAAGGGGTATCGGGCGCGGTGCGGGAGGAACCGTGTGAGGGCGGGGCGGCTGACGCCACACGGTGAGGGGCCGGGCATGCGCTAGAAAAGTGTCCCGGGCGACCGCAATTGAAACACGTGCGGTCGTCCGATGTCTGGACGAGCATAGAGACATCCATGTCTGAGACGCCGCGCGTGCGTGCGCGATGGAGGAGGAGAATGATTCCGAAAGCGCGATTCGGACAGCTTCTTCAAAGGTGTCCAGGTAGACCCGAAATGCGACATCGCGAAAGCTACGCGGGTGGCGTCGTCGAAGATACGCTGGGCATCAGCAGCAGTGCTGACTTATAAAAGCCAGAGGAGGTATTTGTCCGACTCCGCTCCGCCGAATTTAGCAACATCCAGCTTGATCGACTTCAGGCGAGAAGTCGATGGCTTTTCCGACTCCGAAGCGCGCGTGAGGCGCGCGGTCTCATCGTGAGCGATTCGCAGAGAATCTTGGAGGGTGCAACCATGGGACGACATGGTGGAGGCTTGGTCTTCTAGGGTCGCGATTTTCTCGCGAGCGACGCGAAGAGAATTTTCAAGGTTTCGCCCGTGCGAAGACATTTGTGCGACTTGTTCTTCCAATGCCTTCTGGGTAGCCGTAGCTTCGGCAACCGAGATATCAAGAGTGCTACCGATGCCTTCCACAGGGCAAGTTTGGTTATTGGGAGTCATCCTGCCAAGGAGTAGCGCGGTATCGTTGTCGCCGAAACCGCGACACAAAAGGGCGAGGACCGCCTGGTGGGCTGCGGCGTTGGTGGAGGACATAATGTTGGTCGACTGGACGAACGTGGAGTACTACCAGGTGTGAGCGTGGGCAGAGGAAGACGTAGGAGATAGTAGAATCAAGAATAAATTGATAGCGTTGAAACTACTACGCTATCACTAAGCTACGCGCAACCAACCATTGATGTATCGTCGGGGGAACACCTTGGTTGCGCAAGAGGACTTGTTGGTGTGCGATGATACACCTTGGACTGAAGAGACAACTTGGACTGAAAGGGGTGTCGACTAGTCATCCGGTTAGTAACCGGATGATGGGCACGGTTACATAGTCAAGTCTATCAAAGCCGAGACGCGTAGTCATCACTGCATTGCCTGTCTTTGGTATCATCCGTGCCCGTCATTACAGGCTAACCTCCTTCTGCGACAGTACTTTTGCTCTGTGTTCTCCCTGGATGGTTTCACATTATGCCTTTCGGCTGTGGAGATGGCTTGGAACTCACTCATGGCCTACAAGCTTGCCCACAACCTCACGAGTCGTGGGCACAAATAACAATATATAATATACGTATTTGCAGAGCATCAAAGGCTAATCCATCGAGGAGTATTTTCGGTGCCTGGCCTATGTAGAAGGTCATCCAATGCGGCTGAGCGGGATCGACGATGCCATAGATTCGTCACTCGCATCAACCACGAGCGACACGAACCGCCAATTCTTGACGTCGAAGATATAAAGCGTGCCCTTCCAGTGCAGCGTGAGCAAGCCCGAGAGGACGCCAGACGTCTGGTCCAAGAAGAAGTCGCTGCCTTTGCGCCAGTGGGTAAAGTCCAGCATGTAGTAGCTCGACGCGTTCAGCAGAAGTGTCGGGATCAACAAGGGCGGGACGCCCGGTCGGCATTTCATGTCGATAGTGGCGCACAAGACGACGCAACCCAGCACGATGGCTAAGTCGGCCCAGATGCGAGTCACACTGCCCACGGCGATGACACCGCTGGTACAATCCATCCCGCCGTCCATATTGACGTATGCGCACGTCCGATCGAGGGTGACGGTGCAGCTGTGGGGCGACACCAGTGTCCACACGGTTGTGATGAAGCAGACGCACACTGAGCTAGCAGCCGCGTACGTTGCCGTGTGCTGCTGCGTGAAACAACTAAAGATGTCGTTGAGGATGTAGACGACCCACGTGAGCTCGGACGCAGCGAGAATCGATTTGTACCAGGCCACGGGTGGCGCTGTGAGGTGTGTGCCGAGTCCGACTTTGCTCAAAACCAACGGCTTCGTGTTGAGGAGCCAGAGAGCGGTCACACTGCGGAGGATCAGGAGCGGGCGGCCGACCCAGACATGACCCACGATCCGATTCAATTCAAAGAGGTTGAGGCTTTCAATGCGGCCGCGGGAGACGAGTGTGTAGCCCATGGCCACGATTGTGACGGCGATGATTACGTACGTGACGTAGTAAACCGACCCGAGGAAAACCATCGCGATTTTGTTGGCTACGAGGGCCGCGTTGAGG